ATCCCTTGACTTTGGGGGACTGGGCTCGTCCCACTTGTTCCTTGTAGTCCTGGACCTGTGACTGCAGACTTAAAACTTCCCTGGAGAAATAGGCTTAATCCCACTCTGGTGGAGAATAGGCTGAGAAATACATGGCTTGAACTTCTGAAATTTCTTATTCCTACTGGTGGGTGGGGAATACTTACCAATATTATTATGTGGTGGGTGGTAACCACTACCAAATTTTTGGTTAGCTAAGAATCTATCACCCAGTTCCAAAGCATTATTAAAATCGTCCAGATCCTTCTCCTCAAGATATGCCTTCAGGTCAGGAGGAACATTTCTCAACAGATCCTCTAGCAAAATTAAGGTAATTACACCCTCATAATTGTCGACCACCGCCTTTTGAGCGACACCACCTATATAGAAGTGACCTCCTTACCGTATTCCACCAAAGACTGCCCTGCCTGAAACTTTAATCCTCTGAACTTCTGCCGGTACCTTTCCAGCAACATTTGATAAGCCAGTAAAACTACCTCTTTTAGTTTATTATAATCAGAGATGGCCGGTCGTTCTAGAGAACTACCTACCTGTAACCCTTCACCAACTAACTGGGTTCTCGCTAATGTTGCCCATTCCTTTTCCGGACAAACTTGGGATTTGGCCGTACTTTCAAATAACAGGAAAAACTGGGAATTTGGGCACAAATTTTATGGCTTTATCCAAATGAGAAACATCTACCCTCATGTCTGTGGCTGGGTGAGAAGCAAGCTGTCTCTCTCTAGCTTTTTCTTGAGCCCTAAGTTCCTCTAAGGCTCTCTGTTCCTGGATCTTTGTATGTTCAATCCTTAACCGTTCTTTTTCTTCCGCAACTAGGGATTATTTCATTTGTACAAGTGCTACTTCCTTATCCAGGTCCCTAACATGGGGATTTCATTCAAGGTTACCCTCCAAAGGCATGTCACCCCCAGAATTTTCACCAGTGTCAGACATTTTGGGAAACAATAGCACAAAACCTTGCTGTCAGCCACAGAACTTATTGATATAAAATAATAAAGCACACAGTAAAGCACATACACTGAAGTAGTAATTCACCAGGAGTAATTGTCATGCAACTGCCTAAAATTAAACAGGATTTCACACAAAAGAAAACTCTGGCAGAAAAATGGAGCTATTGCACCTGCAAAGGAAAATTATTCCCACAAAATATCGAATATTAATAACACCCTAAAAACCAGCAATATTACATACAAAGGTAAATTATTCACAGGGTATTAGTTAATAAGAACACCCTAAAAACCAGCAATATTGCACACAAAGGTAAATTATTTTTAGTGTGAGTGTTATAGTGAATGCTTCCCCTAACCATCCCAGTAAAGAATGATTATTGTCTTTCCAGGTTGCAAACTTGAATTACCACATAAAATTTTATAATTCTCCCATATACAGGCCCGATGTTATGCAAAAATATGGGATACCTGGGATCTGGAGCCTTGTCTAAGGGCAAAGGTAAAAGTTACACACCTCTCAGGCATAACCAGGCCACCCAGGGCTATCCCAGTCAAAACACGAAGTGCTAAACCAGTATTTGTACTTCAATAGGTTGGTTAACAGAGGGTTATGCAAAAATCATAGTTAAGAAAATATATCTATTTATCCGTCATAACACTATATATACACTCTAGAAAACACCTTCATGTATCTTCTATCCTAAACGCCCAAATAGCGGAGAACAAGAAGCGGACGGCTGGAGAGTCCCGGAAAACATAAACACTTAGCCTAGTAATGCCAGGCCTTCACTATTCCAATATCGACCCCATTTCTTATTTCCTCACTCAACCTACAGCACCTTAGACCATTTCAGAGCCTAGGTGAGCCTACAGGTAAACCATAGAAGGGCCTATGGCCTGAGTTAGTTAAACAAAAGGAGTACACTACTACAAAACTTAAGCTTAAATACACGGCATCTCCAACACCAGCCTCCAGGCCATGCTGACCACATGACTCGCCCCAAGGCCACGCTTACCCCCAAACACGGTTGGAAAATAAATCCCTGGCAGGATTTCTTTATAATTTACATTGTAACCACTTTACAGTACTCCCAAATGCACATTATGAATTATAAAATTAAGCTTTACAATTATAACATTCATACTATTATGACACCCTTCTCTACTGTATGTACATTACAATGTCATGCAGAACCCTGCATAACAGGCAGTAAGGAAGAAACCAGAAATGCAACATCAGGGACAGATAAGGCCTGAGAAGGAGAGAGATACAAAGAACAGATTGTAAATCACTTATTCATGTAGATACGGGCTACAGTGAAGTATAAACAAAGAGTGGATGGTATGGAATACTGGTGCATATAAGAAGTGCACTTTCATTAAAGGTTCTATCGGAAAGAGGAGCCAATGAATATAAGAAATCATAGCCTGAGATGGGATGGATAACAGTGAAGCATAATTTGGGTTATTGTAAACAAACACAAACAAGGGAAAACTGGGAGAGCAACATCTGGAGCTTACCCCGGTTACCTCTGAGGCTGTGGATAACCGGTTACCTCTGAGGCCATGGATCTTCCACTGTAAATAGGCCATGATTTGTGAAAAGAAAGATACAAGAAATTTGAAGGTAGAGGTATCTACAGACTAGTAGGGTTAGAAAAGTCCACATGTGGAGGTAGCAGAAGACTTAAGCAGCAAAGGATTAGGACACTGCAAAGAAAGGGTGTGCAGATGGAGAAGAGTGAAGGGGAGGAACAGGAGGTGGATCGGTGTTCATCACTGGTCTAATCTCAGTACATTCTGAGATAGCTTTAAGTGTTTCTGAGGACAAGGACGATGAATGTGTTTTAATATTGGAGAGGGAAGGAGGGTGAGTAAAGATTGGGGGAAACGATGGACTGTACCAAAGTAGGGAGGGACAAAAGGGTATAGGGAACTAGAGAAGCTTGGGAGGGGACATCTGGAGAGAAAGCGACCTGGGAAGGGGCAGAAGAGAAAGAAACTTGGGAGGGGACGGGAAGAAGGTACTGTACGAGGAGGAGGAGGAACCTCCATGCTTGTAACAGAGCCAGGTAGAGGTGAAGAACCAGAAACTGGGAAGGAAAAATGAGCAGGTTGCAGAAGGGAAGGAGGAGTGTAAGGAGATTTTAACAATGGGGATGTTTTTGGACTTTGGAGAAGGGCGATAAGGAGTAGGTGTTGTATGAGGTCTCGTAGACACAAACTTGTGAGTGAGAAGAAGAAGAGGTGAAAACAGAATGAGGCACCGAGGTAGAGACCCCGGAGCCCAGGACAGCAAAAGAAAGAGACGGGTGACTGTGGAAGGGGTGACCACAGAAGAGGCTGCAGAAGTTGGGACCCCAGAGGAGTGGGGGGTGTTTAGTAACTAGATAATAAGAAATGCAGGGAAATTTCCCTTGGAGGCATAGATGAAAGACTGTCATAGCCTATGGAAGGTCTTCTGCCTCTTTGAGAACAGATTTCACGCTCATTTAAGTAAACTTGGTACCAGCGAGAGTAAGATGGGTGAGCCTCATGACAGGGAGGGAGGGAGATCACAAGATGTATTGGTATGATCGTCGGCACCACAGACTGGGGATTCAGCGACAGACCTGCAATATTTTGCTGGATGACGAAAACACCATCAATTGCTACACTGCTGAGGTGTAGGAAACACCTTTCGAACTTGTAGATGGCATCCCTCTATATATACAGAGGAAGGATGCTCACAGCAGTCAAAAGTTAAGTGAGCTACATTGCATGGGTATCGTCTCTGCCTGCGGGCAGGGAGGACATAAGTGTCTAATTTGAGGATTGGGAGGTCTTGGAGGTCTAGCTGTTCCAGAATGTCATCGCCACATGTTTGGAAATTCTGTTGGACAATGATATGATGCAGAATGACAGTACCACTACAAGAATTGAGGGAATGATGTTTTTCAATAGTTACAGGGACAGTATCATTAGTTGTAAGGAATGAGAGATCGTGAGCTTGGGTAACATTCTGGACAGTGATTGTGTGTGTACCACTCTTGAGAACATGAAAGGATACATCTCTACCAACATGGTGATGGAGTGCCTTGCCAATACTATGGTCGGAAAGATAGGCAGTAGAGAAAGTCAGTAGTAGAGTTAAAACTTAGTCCAGGGTGTATTTTGAAACGTGTAAAGGGAGTGCATGATGTGTCAATCTTTTGAGTAGAATGAGGAGGAGGCGAAGTAATATCATCAGGCAATTGTTTTGGCATTTAGGTGTGGGACCGAAGTTAGTCTTATGTGGGAAAGGCAGGCGATCCGAAACTTGCCACACCATAGAGGGAGAAGCCGGAAGCATAGTCAAAGAAGAGCGGAGGTCAGATGTATCGAAGGAGTCAGTCTAAAGTCTGGTAACTGGAGTAGGCATCAAAATGGCACCAGCAGGAGGGACAGGGGCACGAGAAATGTCCATAGAGTGGTCAAATAACGAGGCAGGGCCAGAACAGGGTGCAGTATCAAAAAGGGGTCCAGGGGGAGAAGGTTCATGGGTTGGGAACTCCATGGTCAGGTCACTCTTTCTTTTTGTTTTTTAGAAAAAAATTAAAATAAAGAAAGAATAAAAAAAAGGGGGGGGAACATGGAGGAATAGCTCCTAGGAGGAAAGAATCAAGCAAAAGAAATACAGTGGACCCCCGGTTAACGATATTTTTTCATTCCAGAAGTATGTTCAGGTGCCAGTACTGACCGAATTTGTTCCCATAAGGAATATTGTGAAGTAGATTAGTCCATTTCAGACCCCCAAACATACACGTACAAATGCACTTACATAATTGGTCGCATTGGGAGGTGATCGTTAAGCGGGGGTCCACTGTACTGGGGTTTTGGCAAAGGAAAAACACCTTACAGAATTTTTCTCTGCTTCCATAGTGAAAAACATAGAAGCTACTAATTAAGAACCAGTACCACTACCAGGTGATGTTTCTTCTGAGAACCCACCCGCATTCCCAAGTACATCTGCAGAAAATAAAAACAACATACCAAATCAAGATAGTAAAGGTGATGAATCACCACAATCACATTTTACAGATATTTCTGTAGACATGAACAGTGAAGCCCCGCCACGTGATTCAGACACAGCCATGTGGTTTCCTGTCAGAGTAAAGCATGTGTCCTCTTGGTCAACTGCCACCATGTAGATTGATGCCGAAAGCGTGACACCTAAGATATAAATAAATACACATCAGTAATTGTTATATAAACTGAAAATTAGTCAATTATTCTTAGTCAATAAAATTGAGAAAAATAAAATCAAACGTCTTCTTCGAAACCTAACATTTTTTTCAAAAAAAACTGCTGTTTATCCATCACCTTGCAGATCACACTGGTCAGGGCAATGGGACAATAGTAAAAGGTATCAAGCCCCGAGTTGCCTGGTTTGTGAAACGATAGTACGACGGCAGATTTCCATTGTTGAGGGAGAACCCCTCGTGTGCAAATAAGATTGAAAAGATGTAAAAGGACTGGAATGGCCGTAGAATGCAGATGTTGTAGCATATTGATATGGATATCATCAGGCCCAGCTGCCAACGGCTAGCAAGCGGAAAGCATGGAATATGGCAGTCGGGAATATGTAGTAGAAGTAAGAAGTATAGGAAAAGTGATTACTGTTGTGTAAATCTGGAAGAACAGACCAAGCGTAATCAAGTGCAATTGACGAGGAACAGATGAAAGATCAATGCAAGAGAGAGGCTGAGTTCGAGAGTCAAAATGGGTAGGAGCACCTGTATTTAAAACAAAGAGGATGAGAAACGAGAAGAGCCTCCAACTGATCACCACGAGTCACAGTGGGACCCTCTCCACAGATGATGATAGGTGTTAAAATCCCCTAACAACAAGATGGGTGGCAGTAAAGAGATCAAAAACGCAATATCCGAGATACAGAATCCACAGTAGAGGGAAAGTTAGACTGTACACTATTTGTGTAAAAAAAATAGGAGCTGCAGCATAATGCAGCAGAGAATGAACAAAAACTTGTTGATATGGAATATCAACACGCACAAGAAGCACGCTCTAATTAAATGATTCATCAGGAAAAGGATAAGAAGAATGTAACAGCACATAGCCCAAAATGGGACAAATAACAGCTGAACGAATTTTGGGCTCTTGTATCCCAACACATATCAGGGAAAACAGTAACACCGACTTCTCCCTGATTACCCCTAAGACCACGAATATTCCAATGTAAATAAGACATTATTCACAAAAACAGGAATGTCAAAAATACGAAGCAATAAAATCTATGGGCTATTAGGATCAGTAGTCAATGTGTGGGGACGATGGTAAGCATGTAATCAAGGAGGAATCTGAACACTGAACTAAAAGATTGTTGTGAGGGTCATGAAAAAGAAAGGGTAGGAGGAGACACATTAGTGTTCATCAAGGGTTTCGTCTCCGCAATATAGCCGATGCCATGATTTCAGGGACAGGTGAGGTAGAGCAAGTAGAGATCTGAGTAACTATAGAGGCAACCAAGGAGGTCTGGAGGGGCAGGGAGTGTGAACCTGGAGAGATGTGTCAGCGAAGGCAGAAGAGTCTTTAATGTAACAGGGAGAGGAAGGAGGTTGGAAGGTAACTAGGGAAGAAGACTGAGAGGGAACAAGAGAAGAGGGGACTACACGAGGGGGTGGGGGTGAACCTCCACCTTCGTGTGAGAGCTAGAAAGGGGGGTAAAAACCAGGTGCCGAGGTAGCAGATAGGATCAACTTCACAGGTGATAGACACAAAGAAGGTGTAGGCTTGCGAGATCTGATGGACTGAGAAACTAGTGAGCAAGATGAAGCAGTAGAAGTAGGAAAGGTGCAGAGGTAGGAGTGTCAGAGGATAAAATCGCAAAGGAATTAGAAACAGGGTGACTCTGGAAGACATGGTTGCAGATGAGTTGGTAGGCAGGATGACTGTCAAAGTTGGAGGTCTCCAGGCTACCCGAGAAACGCGAGGAAGTTTTTCCCTGAAGGTGGAGCAAGGGGACAGCCATAACATAAGGCCTTCACTCTTCTTAAGATAACGGATTTGTCGTTCATTAAGATAGACTTGACAAAGGCATGAAAAAGAAGGATGAGATTCATTGCAATTCAGACAAGAGGAGGGAAGACTGCTAGATGTATTGGTATGATCTAAGGCACCACAGGCCGGGCTCTCCGCCACAGATCTGCAGTATTTAGTGGGGTGCCTGAAGCACCAGCAATTACGATACTGTTGGGGAGTAGGGACCACTTTACAGACCTCTAGGCGACGGCCTGCAATATAAGAGGAGGATGGGAGTTCAGTGCATCCAAAGGTTAAGTGGGCGATGTTACTGGAAAAGCTCCTCTGCCAACGAGCAGGCAGAAGGTGTGTATCCACTTTGAGAATAGGAAGGTCCTGAAGAGCTAATTGCTCTGAAACATCATTGTGGCAAGACAGAAAATCCCTCTGTACAATGGTACACAGTAAAACCACAGTATCACTGCAAGAACTGAGATAAGTGTGCTTATGAACTGTGACTGGAATGTTATCTATGGAAGTTATATAGGAGAGAGCATGAGCTTGTTCTGAATTCTGAACTGTAACAACACATTTGTCAATGTGCCATTTTGAAGAGCATGAAAAGATATATTATTTAGGCCAACATGTCGTAAAAGAGCTTTACCAATACTATGATCAGAAAGAGTCAGTTAGAGACGTCGGTTGTAGGGAAAAGAATTTAACCCACTCTCTTTTATGTGCGGGTTATTTGTGTAACCCACTGCATACTTGTAAACATGGTGCACAAAGGGAGTGGGTGTCGCATAGGTCTTTTTGGGCAGATATAAAAGAACTGTCGTCAGAAGGTTGTCTAGAATGTTTATGAGTAGTACTGCGAGTGGTCTGACTTGAGGGAGGCGAGCAATCCAAAAACCATCTTGTCATATTCAGGGAAGCTGGAAGCATTGTTAAAGGCATGTGAGATGCAGTGGCATTAACAGAAATGAGTGGCACCCTAGCACCTGGAGCAGGTGACAGTGTCACCAGCAGAAGTGGGTATGGGAGGAGTCTAGAGAATGGTCCAATAATGAAGCCAAGTCAGAACAGGATGTGGGATCAGAAAAGGGGCCTGGGAGGAGGAGGAGGGTTATCACTGAACGAAGACTCCATGATAATTGTGTTTCTTCCGTGTTATCTTTTTTTATTTTACAGAAAAAAAAGAATGAAGGAAAAAAAAAGGGGGGGGGCAGTGGAGAGTCATTAGAAGGCATGGAAGGGCCATATGTTCCTCCCTTCATCCGATGGGGCCTCGAGCCCATGAGCAGTGAATATGCAGCATGGATCCCGTGCCATACCCTACCCTTCACGCCAGTAAACCAGCGCTCCCAGATAGCCTCACATCCACCGAGGTGATAAAAGAAAGGAAGGACGGTCACAAACCCGCCACAAAGCAGTCCTCTTTCAGCTGCCACTTCCCAGAACCGACAGGCAGCTTCCAGAGATACACCCATCATCTGCAGGGCACCCTGCCCACTTCTCAGAACTCCAGGAAGGGAGCAGGGCACCTCCAGATAATTCAGATTTCAAGGCAAATGAGACCATCCCCGAAGGACCCCACAGAGTGGGATAAACCCCAACACACTTCCCTCTACCTAGACACTAATGCCAGAGGGGAGGACCGAGACTACAAAAAGGATGGGGAAAGGGGAGGGATGGGAGGGGGAGGAGAGAGGGGAAAAAGGGGAGGATGGGATAAGGAAAGGAGGATTGGGGGGTACTTAGGTTAGGTCTGAGGAAAGAGACCAAAGAGCTTAATTCCTTAGACCAAGAGACTCTCTGCCACATCAAGGAGCCCCAACCCCCTTGAAGAGGAGTGGAAAATATAGAAACTACTAATGAAGAACCATTACCAGATGATGTTTCTTCTGAGAACACACCCGCATTCCCAAGTACATCTGCAGAAAATAAAAAACATACCAAATCAAGATAGTAAAGGTGATGAATCACCACAATCACATTCTATAGATATTTCTGTAGACATGGACAGTGAAGCCCCGCCACGTGATTCAGACCCCAGCCATGTGGTTTCCTGTCAGAGAAAAGTATGTGTCCTTTTGGTCAACTGCTACCATATAGATACTGAAAGTGTGACACCAAAGATATAAATAAATACACATCGTTATTATATAGTGTAGATGGAATATATTAAACTGAAAATTATAGTCAGTTATTCTTAAAGTCAATAATATTGACTTCGAAACCTAACTTTTTATTTTTTTAATTCATTTTAGTTCATTTCTTATTTGTAATTCAATTTAATTTCCATGTTGAGGGCCCTCCAACACCTAAAGTGCCCGAGGCCACCCAAGGTCTAAATCCGGCCCTGATCAAAACTAAGCACTAAACCCACAAGAGATGTCAAATACCTAAGTCCAATATCAAGGAGACGGTTTTAAACACGAGTCCATGGACATTGTTTATTACAATTACGAATATGTGGCAAACGAGTGTCTTTGGGCTAGTGTCCAGGGCGTTTCAAGTATCAAGGTTGAAGCCACGTTAACACACAGTAACAAGACTGTTAGTACCTTAATAATTACCAAGTGACAACCATCCCCCCTACCCATCACCCTCCCACCAGTAACAACAAACTACTCACCCCAACCCCTCCACCAGCAGCCAAGCCCCGACCCTTCCCTAACGACCTTCCCCCTCCCCACAACAACCACTGACGTCATCACCCTCCCCCTCCTCCTGGTCAGTGGCGCCATTTAGCCAAGGTGGTCAAGAATAGTGGCGCCCCTAGTCACTCCTCTACCATCCACCACACCATCAACACCTCCAGCTCTTCCAGCTCCATCAACTTGTGGTAATTTAAAGAAAACTTTGTTTACTCCAATTTCATAGTAATTTTTGATAGATCAGATTTGAAAATATCTTTGCAATTTTTCTTTCCACAAAATATTGAAGGAAACGATCTAAATACATAGTAAGAACTCAGACTTACTTTCTGCAGTTCGTGAATAATCCACTAATGTCCATCTTTTATCTTCGCAGACATTGTTTTGGTGTGTTGCTGCTGGTGATGACATCTCTGAACACTTGCAGCTACCCACAACCTGGGGAATATCTTCAGTTTATCGAATCTTGTAGGTTGATCATTAATTAAAATGTAATGAATAAATTTTATTTCTTTATCACAAATAAATGTTGAAGGAAAACACACACACACGTACGTGTGTGTAAGGAACACACACACAAAAAAGGGAAATAACTTGACAAGCCTCAACTGCTGTATTTGTCAGCAGGAGGACACCATTCACACAATTCGGGAGCTTTAAGCTCGGGGAAAAAAAAAATATACCTACCCCAACCCTACTAACAATGGTAATGAGGCAAATAGCCTCAATGCTGCCATTATTAGTAGTTTGAGGTATGATATTTTTAAATTTCATGACCCTGCGTATTAGCTGACAAAGTGTTGCGACACTGGGCAGTCATGTACAACAGTATCTAAACTGCAAACACTCCCGCGTGCACAACAGTCTTCTAACACAAGAGGTGATCATAAGTCTCCAGTGCCGTCTTGTTTGTAAGAAGTATTATGCGGTAAATAAACGAGCTTGAGGTAAATTCCCTAACATACACTGCATCCTAGCCAAGCCTACTCCTATATTACGAGTTAAATATCCCTGGAAAAAAAAGTCTTTGATTACTTGCACTACTCTCCTCTGAATCAAACCTGATTGTTTCCTTAACATTCCCCAATAAGGTTGGAGCCAAGGACGGGGAGGGTACTTGCAACTGCTGGTATCAAGACAACTTCACTAGTACAAAGACACCCCTTGAAGGGCATCCAAATTTAACATGAAGGTAGTTAATGTTATCAAGACGACAATTCTTTCCCCTAAACTTCCACGTCCCTCATTAGTACACTAGGGTAAAAACCAACACTGTGGGGGATCTAACCAGTTGAAGCTCTGCCGTAGACTGGTATAACACACACTACTATGCTAGCCTGAATTCATAACCTACCTTACCTGCCACTTATGGCTGGCATCCTAGGCACAACCAGAGGACCACTACATAGAAGCCCCCACACACAACCCTGCTGGGTTAGGAACCCAGAAAAAGAGGTAAATAACCCTATTCTCGCTAATAACAATCTAAATCACTCCTCTCCCCCCTTCAACTATACTCATTAGAATCAGATGTTAGTGAATCCTTTCTGCCGACTAACACTTCACTTCAGATCACAGTTTTCCATCATTAACGCTTCGGCAGCAGACGTTAGACTTCAGTACTTACAAACTAACCAGAGATTTCACCCCACCACCCTCCCACCTAATACAATTACTATCTGCTAAAATAACCAAACTTTAGTGGACTTATAACCTGGAAATACCTTACAAGTGGGCCCTGCCCACCTCTAACGAAGTCTCTAACTGCTGCATCTCCATATAACAGACCATTTACTAGTGGTTGTCTTCACCCCTCAGACTGGTCAATGTTGCAGCAGACTGGCACAGCACTCCTTAGACTGGTCCATTTTGCTGTGTTGATCAATGATGCAGCAGGCACAGCCAGGCACAGCACTCCTCAGTTACCACACCTGAAACAAAACATTCACATTATAACCATAAACATTACACACACAGGTAAACATTACCATGTAACGTAAATTAGAACAAAGTTTACCCCTTGAAGGGCATCCAATTTAACATGAAGGTAGTTATGATTATTACGACAACATTGTGGTTCCCCTAAACTTCTATGTCTCTCATGGCACACTAGGTTAACAACCAACACTATGGGAGGATGTAACAAGTTGGAGGCCTGCCGTATACCAGTTTCCTAACACACTACTATGCTAGCCTGAATTCATAGCCTACCTTACCTGCCACTTATGGCGGGCATCCTGGGCACAACCTGACGACCACTACATTCAAGCCTCCACTCTACCTCTATTTTTCTGGGTTCCTAACTGAGCAGCGTTAATCCTATTCTCACTAATACCAATCAAAATCACCCCATCTAACTATATTCATCACTTCAGAGCACAGAGGATTTCATTTCCATCATTAACGTCTGCTGCCAAAAGCGTTAGACTTCACTACTTACAAACCATCAAACCAACTGCAATTCTGAATGCGTAATACTATATTCATAGGAACCTGAACGCCGCTTAAATTTTCCAAAATAATGAAATTGTGTAAACTCAATGAATCAATATTTAACTTTGAACAGTTTGGCCAAAGGCATAAAAAACGTAGAACACCCACCACAACCACTACCCAAAGCCCGGAACCCACCAACATCCCCACGGAAACCACATGCAATAACAGATTGCAGACAGCTACTGAAGGTCGTTGGTGGGTTCCAAGGCCCACAGTTCTACGTAATCTATGCCTTCAGGGGAGATTACTCTCCCCTGCTATATGCATTCATAATGCATATAGCAGATTCTCCAGTTTTATACCTTCCCTATCCTAAGTAACACCACCTAAATCTATAAGTTATTTTGATAGTAGAAACTAAATAATTGTAGATCTACAAAGTGTTGTGTTATATACACCACAAATATGTAGCATACTCTAGGTATAGGCCTTACTAATTTGCAGAGCAGTGGCGGCTCTTGGAGAGAGGGAGGTAAAGATACGATCAAGGGGGTCTAGTTAAGATCGAGGACGGTCTCGGTAAGATGAAGGGGGTCTCGGTAAGATGAAGGGGGTCTCGGTAAGATCAAGGGGGTCTAGGTAAGATCAAGGGGGTCTAGGTAAGATCAAGGGGGTCTAGGTAAGATCAAGAGGGTCTAGGTAAGATCAAGGGGGTCTAGGTAAGATCAAGGGGATCTAGGTAAGATCAAGGGGATCTAGGTAAGATCAAGGGGTCTAGGTAAGATCAAGGGGATCTAGGTATGATCAAGGGGTCTAGGTAAGATCAAGGGGTCTAGGTGAGATCAAGGGGGTCTAGGTAAGATCAAGGGGGTCTAGGTAAGATCAAGGGGGTCTAGGTAAGATCAAGGGGGTCTAGGTAAGATCAAGGGGGTCTAGGTAAGATCAAGGGGGTCTAGTAAGATCAAGGGGGTCTAGGTAAGATCAAGGGGGTCTCGGTAAGATCAAGGGGTCTAAGATCAAGGGGGTCTAAGTTCAAGGGGGGTCTAGGTAAGATCAAGGGGGTCTAGGTAAGATCAAGGGGTCTAGGTAAGATCAAGGGGGTCTAGGTAAGATCAAAGGGGTCTAGGTAAGATCAAGGGGGTCTAGGTAAGATCAAGGGGGTCTAGGTAAGATCAAGGGGGGTCTAGGTAAGATCAAGGGTTGTCTAGGTAAGATCAAGGGGGGTCTAGGCAAGATAAAGGGGGGGGTCTAGGTAAGATCAAGGGGGTCTAGGTAAGATCAAGGGGGTCTAGGTAAGATCAAGGGGGTCTAGGTAAGATCAAGGGGTCTAGGAAAGATCAAGGGTGTCTAGGTAAGATCAAGGGGGGTCTCGGTAAGATCAAGGGGGGTCTCGGTAAGATCAAGCGGGTCTCGGTAAGATCAAGGGAGGTCTCGGTAAGATCAAGGGAGGTCTCGGTAAGATCAAGGGAGGTCTCGGTAAGATCAAGGGAGGTCTCGGTAAGATCAAGGGAGGTCTCGGTAAGATCAAGGGAGGTCTCGGTAAAATGAAGGGGGTCTAGGTAAGATCAAGGAGGTCTCTCAGTAGTAGTGCCAGTTCCTAGTAACCAGTTACCAGTAACCAGTGTACCAGTAGATGACTCACTACCAACCGTCTCTGCGTGAATCACTGACTGTATTCATATTGCTGGTGACCATAGCAGGATTTCAAACACCCCCTCACCCGTAGGCAATGTGAGTCAGTCAAGACAGGGAGCAGAGAGAGGCAGGTCGGCTGTTGGTGCCTTCCATACTTTCCGTTATAAGTACTACCAGCCTACGTGAGTATTCTTACCCCATCCACTTTATCGAAACCCACATGACAGGTCTAGGTAAGATCAAGGGGGTCTAGGTAAGATTAAGGGGGGTCTAGGTAAGATCAAGGGGGTCTAGGTAAGATCAAGGGGGGTCTAGGTAAGATCAAGGGGGTCTAGGTAAGATCAAGGGGGTCTAGGTAAGATCAAGGGGGTCTAGGTAAGATCAAGGGGGTCTAGGTAAGATCAAGAGGGTCTAGGCAAGATCAAGGGGGTCTAGGTAAGGTCAAGGGGATCTACAAAGTCTTAAAATATACTGTATAACCCAGTTTCAAAACAAACGCCCCCCCCCCCCCCAAGACACACTAATACAGACTCTGGAGTATTTTCGGGACTTTAAGCCATAAACTTACTTGGACAGGCTCTCTACAACACTGCTGAAAATAGGAAGATGTGGTTAATTCCACATTTCTGAGTAACTGTTATTGATTTTTCCGGCTATAATATATCCTGCCTAAGGAAAATTCATCCCGTCATGTGAAGCTAAAACATTGGTTGCGTCGTTTTAAAAATATTATTATTATTATAATCAAAAAAGAAGCGCTAAGCCACAAGGACTATACAGCGTTTTAAAAATAGGTAAGACAAATTATAATCAAAAAGAAGCGCTAAGCCACAAGGGCTATACAGCAAGGTTAGACAAATGAGTGGTTGAGAGTTGGACCTGCCTAATATGGGCCAATAGGCCTACTTCAGTGCTCCTTTCTTATGTCTTAATAATGGCTTTCCTTACACCCGGCATCAAGACGTCTACCATTATCCTCACCACACTAAACTAAGTATAATTATTAACCCGGTAGATTAGCACAGAATTACACAATTAAGTCAGGATGATATCCAAGACATTTTTATCGAAATGGTATACAGTACCGACAGGATGGTAGGCAAGACACTTGGGCAACAGTTATGTAACTATTCCGAAACGTTTCGGTTACACAGTAGGCTCCTTCCATCGAGTATAGAAAGTAGGCAGGAGCAGCAGAGATGTGAAGACGATGTAATCAGTCCATCAACCTTGTAGTAGTAGATTTGACGTTGTCAGTCTATGCAACTTCTCCAGGCTGAGGGACTGACAACCTCAAATCTAAAACTTTATGAGTGATAGACTGCTTACACCGTCTTCACATCTCTGCTGCTCCTGCCTACTTTCTG